ATATATATCATTAATTTGCAAACGATATATATCGATTAAATGCTATATATCGATTAATTTCTGTAAAAAAAATTTCCCGATGTTATTATTAAAATATTCTTGAGTAATCTAAATATTATTCAGCCAGATAATAAAACTAAAAAACCAAATATAATTTGGTTATCTAAAAATTTTTTGTTTGTTAATATAGCACTAAAAAACTATATTAAAATTTTACTCTGTGCTGTAAAATAACTATATTTACTATTAAAAGTATCCAGTATCTGTGATAAACTGCATTGTTAGAAATTCTGTCTGACTAATATAGCTATTGATATCTTCGATTTGATGTCATATCTATTGAACTGCAAACTCAAATTTTGATAATTTTTTATAGTACCATTTCATGGTAGAACTACTAGCTTCTGATTTATTTGAGTCAGTAGTTGGCAGTGCAATTAACACTACAGCAGTTTGTTGTTCTTGCGAATAATATCTAACTCCCCAATTTTTATTATCTAAAATTTGATACAAAATATTATATGTATCTTGCCCACTAAAATAATATTCATAATTTTGTTTAGTAATTGAATATCATATTATATATTCACTAAAAATATCCACAAACTGACTTTCTATATATGGAATAGTAATATGTTGTGAACTAGCCAAATTACTGTTATTTGATAATTTTTTTTAAATACTATATACTAAAATTTCTTTAAATTCAGCTATGGTATCTTGTGATAATATAATAATCCTATCTTGTAGACAATTATAAGAACTATGCATTATTTGTTCATAGTGAATAAGTTCTTGTTTATTTTTAAAAGACTTCTGTGGCTATAGTAAACAAAAAATGTAACTATTAATTATAGAATTATTCTTGTTTTTTGAGAAGTGTACTCGAGTTTGGTGAATCAGAAAACCACATTCATTTTTAAAATTCTTTTTAAAACAAAGATTATAGGCAACTTGAGAAAGTGGTGATATTAGAATAGTCATCATAAATATATAACTATGATTATCACAACTTGGATTTTAAAAATAAAGTTTAAATTTGTAGATTAATACATGAAAATTAGCTAATCAAAATTGGTTAATTTTTAAATTCACTAGGAAATTAAAGGTACACATGTAGTATGTAAAAAATAGAAGGTATTTACTTTATATATGCATTGATAAGAGTCAACAAATTGAAAAGGAAGAGTAGAACCAGTCAGGGGCTACATACCATATGCTTGATCATAATGAGTAAGGAATAGATCAAGTTCAGAGAAGAGATCGATTAATATCAAATCGTATAAGAACCAACAAAAGCTACTTTTAACGCTCTTTTCTCCTTCAATGCAATAGTCTTAAACAAACCAAAAATTTTTAACTCAACCCTTCCTACTATATATAGTAGTTTTCTGATTCTATTATTTTTCTATTTAACAGCCAGCCTGCTTCGAGCAAATAGAAAATTACCAGCTAATGCTGCTTCTCACTTATCCTATTGTTATGATGATACCTAGTGCAATCTTGTTAATTTTCTTGAAGCATATCATCAATTCAGTTTGAATTATTTAGCTAAAATTGCTTAAAATGTATTTGCAGACTTCAAGTTCTTTAATTGAACTTATTTTAACAACTTTGGCTAGCTGGCCTTCATCTAATTATTAACAATTATATCTATGTTTTTTGAACACACAATACACAATGCTCATAAGCATCTATAATTGATAAATGTAGATCATTATAAAAGCCAAAATTTAAGAATGAAACCTAAATCTTTCACTTTTAGATTCAAGTTTTTAAACCAAAAAAAAAATTTAATATTATATATTAATATGCTAGATTAAAAAGCTAAGTTGACTATATCTAATAAATTAAACAGCTTATATTTATTAAATACGATTAAATAAAATACCTTAAATAGCAATACTCTTAGTTGTTTTATTTAAACTGCTGATTATATATTACTATAGTATACAGATTAATATGATCTAGTAGATGGCAACTAAAATTGCTTTTCAAGTAAAGTCTTCTAGAAACCTGATCTTTTTTTTGATTGTTTTATATAGTAAATATTATACTTTGTTTTGTAAAAAAATTGTAAAAGTTATTTGTACGTAATAAAATTTAATTAATAAAATATCTATCATTATCGTTATTAATTTTGGGGTTAATCTTTTATAATTGACCAATCAAATAATAGTAACACAAATTTTTAGAGTACATATTTATAGTCTAATTTTGCCGATCTGCTAATATGATATTCTATATTTGATTTTCAAGGCAAAGACCCTATTTTATAAACCTTTTATTCATTTTATACTTTCACAAACTTTGAAAAGTTTGAGAAATTTGTCTTCATTAAGCTCGCTTCATAACAACTTTTTGTGTGGTTTTCATTACCATATATCTCTGAAAATAAACTATCTTTTTTTTGACAAATTTGAATACAAAAAATAGTAAGTAGCTTATTTACAAAATTTATGATTTTTAAAAAAATTTGGCTAAAAAGTAAAAGGTAGCTTATTATTGAATACTATTATATACCAGTACTATTTTTTTTAAAAAAATATTTAATTTTAACAAGGTACATAGCTTATTATCAGATACTATTATTTATTTTATTTTTTTTTAAAGTTTAACTTTAACTATTTTTTAATAAAAAAATAAAGTTATCATTGCAATTTATATAACTATTAATTGATTTATCCTATTTTAGAGGATTATAACCACCAAGAATTTAATCAGTATTTTTAACCTTCATTACCACAATCATATTTGCTTGCTTATTACTTATTTTCCAAAATGTTTCTTTAGTAAAACTATCTCTGATTCTGCAAAAAAGTAATTTAAACTCATACAGATTATTTGCTATTAAATATGTTTTAGTTTTCTTATCAACCTATGTAGCAATTTCGATTGCATATTTTTCTGTGATAACTGTTAAAAATAATTCTGTCGTATATATTGGTAATTTTGGTATTAAAATTACTTGAGATAGAAGAACTTGATGATACTTGTCGATTTGGGTTTACAATTTTTTTCAGTATATCTTTTCAAAGATCTTTTTTAAGATTATTTGATATGGTTCTATAATTATCAATTAAGTTTAGCAGTCTTTTAATCGCTATACATTGCATTTTAGATTATTTTTACCACAAGCATTGTGTTTAGAAAACAATTTTCTTTATAATAACTCAATTCAGAATAGTCAGATGATTTTAACAGACCTATAATCACATGCATAAAAACAAGCAAGGTATTATTTGCACAAACAAGCTTATAATATTCTTAGCAAGCAGTTTTTTATTTATTATTGCATATTATAGCAACATAAATATAAAATATGTATGTATAAATATATACATGTATAGCAGAAATAATAAGGCCTGCAATTTCTTAAAAATTCATCACTGCATATTATAACAACATAAATATAGTATACATATATATGTATATATAAACTTATTGTTATAAGTCAGTATTATGGTATATGATTTTTATTTCTACTTTCTTTAAAAAAAAAATTATAAATAAAGATCAACAAACTTTTCAAAAAAAAAAAAAAATTAAATAAATAAATAAAATGTAAAAAACCAACCTTAATCTCTTCACTCTATCCGTATGATTCTACCAAACTATCCTTTTAATAGATTCTAAAAAAAACTCACTTACCAAACAGTAGCTTCTGCTCAACAGTAATTTTTTAAAAAGTATATATTCTTATCATCAAATTCACTATCTTCATCAAATTCATCGTTTTCATTAGATTTACTGCCTTAATCAGATT